CCCCCCCCCCCTCTCCAACCTCCATTGTTAGATTTGACCTAACCTCTAAGACGTAGAAATAGGTATAAGTCACTTCACCCAACCCGTCTGTCGAATTAAAATAAATTAATTAAATATTAAATATAAAATTATTTTACAACATAATCCTAAATTTAAGCACTGAAAGTTAAAAAACGAAAAATTTGTCGGAAACACGTCAAAAACTAAAATGCTAAAAAAAACTCAACATAACCTAAACTTATGCTTGAAAGTTAAAAAATGAAAAATTCGTCGGAAACACGTCAAAAACTAAAATGCTGGTGAATGTTGATAAAATCTCACTAAAGCAACGGTTTCTCCTTTTCGAACAGTGAACGATACTCCATGTAGGACTGTTCTTTCGGGAGTATAACCGAAATGTACGTTATCAAATTCGATATCACCATTCCGGACTTCTAGTGGTGGTGCATCCGGTTTATCAGTTACCTGGAAAGAGTACTGTAAAACTCTGGAAAAGCTTATCGTAAGTTACCTCAACGGGAAAGGAGGACACTAACTGTGCTATTTTTCCTAGTATCAAATTAGCTCCATTCAACTCCGCCACTTTTATGCATTTTTTTTTTTGTTTTTTGCGGCCATGCAATGCAGAAAACGCATATTGACGAGAGAAATCTCTGTGTGTGTGTGTGTGTGCGTGTGCGCTGTATGTCTGTACCTATTTTTCATCTCGAGACCCACAGAAGCTACGGGGCTGAAACTTGGTGAGCATAATCTATATGCACGTGCGCGCCTCAGTCCCCAAAATGGGTGCCGTTACTTGCGTGGCACGCACGTACGAGCCGGTCAAAGTTTTTTACCGGTAAGCTGCTGGACCAGAAATGCTAAGAGGCTCAAATTTTAAAGAGACGTTCCCCGTCCAAGTAGATATTAATGTGCTCAAACCCAGCCCTAAGTAAGCGTGATACCGACGTTTTTTCGGGTAAGTTGATAACTCGGGAATCTGAGAAGCCAGGAAGCTGAAATCTTAAGGGGATATTCCTCGTCCAGGCAGATATTATTGCGCTCAAACTCACCTCCGCGTAGGCGTAATACCCACGTACGGTCTCGTGAAAGTTTTTTTCGAGTAAGTAGCTAACTCAGAAGCCAGGAAAGCTTGGAAGCTGAAATTTTGAGAGGGTGTTTCCTGACTGACGACCAGTTTTAATTTGTTTAGCTAGAGGCATTTGCTGGGAAAACCGATGCCGGTAGCGACAAAAACTGTTGGGAACTATGCAAAAAACGCATCTTCGCACGTGCAACCAGTGCGTTAGCCAATTATTAAAGATTTGATTTCTTGTTTCACAATTGCTTGCTTGGGCGACCTTGCATACTGGTTGGTGGAAAATTAATATCCTCTTTTTTCTGGGACAGCACCTTCTGTGCGGCACCATCAGCATGCTAACCGCCAAGCGATGTAAAATCGGGTAAAACAGCTAGAAAAATTAGAATCTCAGGCTACAAAATTAGTAACTGTTCCAACTTAAGTTCTGCAGTTTTTCTTAGTAAACTTGCCTCAAATTTACGCCTTTTTTGAGCCACATTTTTCCTAACTGTTAATCAACGGCAGTCAAGCTTCTTATTTTCGCGGACGAAGAATCTTATGGTCGGTCGATGAGTATTTAGGTTAATATTTACCTCAATGTCTTCAGCGAGGAGTTCAAACATATTTTCCATATCGATGAAAGCTTGCTGAATAACCCTGCAAAAAAAAAAAAAAAAAAAAAAAAAAAAA